GCGATTGATTGCTTTAAACAAAAGCTAATGAGTTTTATAAAAAACTTGCATGAACTCTACGACCGCCTTCTGTAAGCAATTTTAGAAAAACTCTATTTCGATTTTTATTGTATAACTGTCATAAAACCAATGCGGAAAATGTATATATGTATGTACATACATAAATACATAATTTTCTTTTATTTTAATTTTTATTTTTTTTATATATTTTTTTTGCTGATCAGCATAACTACATTCGGCTTTGGATAGGCGAGCCTCCCATGAGCTGCTTGCCTTCCATATTTTAGGCTGTTGTGCGATCTTTTTAAATCGGTATAGATCAATACTTAAAAGTATGGACTGAGCACATCAATACTTACTTCCCACCAGCCCATTGCAAAAATTTGCGTCGACTATTTCATAAATTTACACCATCAATTTTAAAATATGCGACTACTTCGGATGACTTTCCAGACTTTTTAGGAGTTTTTGCTTTTCGAAAAAGAAAAAACCGGACACTCCATAGTCCGGATTTGTTTTAATTATAAACCGGACTGTCCGGTCAATAAGCGGATACCTGACAACCCTGCATGTACATATATGTGACACGTAAAGTTAAAAGGGACCTACGGTAAGAAAAAATCGGTTTTCACTTTTTTATCGACTCTTATAATAAACGGGCCGCTCTTTCCAATGCAAAAAACCACAGCTTTCTAGCTACATTAGTTTTTTCACAATTTCACTTCAAAGTTAGGTACTTTCACAAAAAAAAGTACAAAAAAAAATCAAATCTGACAAACTATCCTGAAATTAATTAAATTCGCTTGAAACTCGTTACTCGGGGGTTTTCGGGGTCGCTGATTACGAATCCGATGTTAGTTTTTCAAAATTCGGTGTCAACGACATTTTTGAGTTTCACATTCGAACAAATTTTAAATTTTTTCCGCCATAATGGATCCGCCATTTTGAATTTTTAAAAACGAACATCGGATTCGTAATCATCAACTCCGAAACCCCCCGAGTAACGAGTTTCAATCCATTAAAACGTTCAGAAGCATCAAAATCAACTTGGTAAACTTCAAAGTCGTTTTTCTCGAAATCTTTTTTTCTGAGCGTAGGTCCCTTTTAACTTTACGTGACACATATATGTTTGCTTGTACACCAGTACATTAAAATTGTTGGTGCACGACCCTTAGCCTTCTGTTTAATGGATGAAATCTATGTTCTATGAAATTTAACGTGTTTGGAAATATTTCACGAGTGGGTTGGCTGAAAAAATCATGGCCAGGATATTTTTAATTAAATATTCAAAAATGAGTTTTATATCCGAGCGCACTTGTGCACACATAACGGTTGCTTGTAATAGGCAAAACGAATCGAGATAGATATAGACAAATGTACATATACATAAATGATCAGAATGAAAAGGTGAATCGATTAAGCGGTGACTGTCTGTCCGTCCGTGCGTCTGTGCACACGATAACTTCCGGGCGTAGGACAGATGGTATTGAAAATGGTAAAAATCGGACAATAACCACGTCTACCTCCCATATAACGGTAATTTTCAGAAATACTGCGCTATTTTAGCAACTACTTAAGATTATTAACTCAAAATTGATATTTACAATAATTTTTAGACGAAAAATAAGAATATTATAAATTTTTGGAAAATGGGCGTAGCCACGCCTACTTATGGTTACATGTGTATATCGTGGTAACCGCTGCACCAATTTCTTCCAAACTTGGCACAGTTGTTGGCCTTGGTACAGCATACCAAATGGCCGATAACGGTAATTTAGAGAAATACGAAATCTTCGATTAATCAGTTAATATTAAAGCTACTTTATTTAAAATTGATGCTTGCAACAATTCTTTACCACGAAATACGTTATGATAAAGTTTTGGAAAATTNTTGTGCGATCTTTTTAAATCGGTATAGATCAATACTTAAAAGTATGGACTGAGCACATCAATACTTACTTCCCACCAGCCCATTGCAAAAATTTGCGTCGACTATTTCATAAATTTACACCATCAATTTTAAAATATGCGACTACTTCGGATGACTTTCCAGACTTTTTAGGAGTTTTTGCTTTTCGAAAAAGAAAAAACCGGACACTCCATAGTCCGGATTTGTTTTAATTATAAACCGGACTGTCCGGTCAATAAGCGGATACCTGACAACCCTGCATGTACATATATGTGACACGTAAAGTTAAAAGGGACCTACGGTAAGAAAAAATCGGTTTTCACTTTTTTATCGACTCTTATAATAAACGGGCCGCTCTTTCCAATGCAAAAAACCACAGCTTTCTAGCTACATTAGTTTTTTCACAATTTCACTTCAAAGTTAGGTACTTTCACAAAAAAAAGTACAAAAAAAAATCAAATCTGACAAACTATCCTGAAATTAATTAAATTCGCTTGAAACTCGTTACTCGGGGGTTTTCGGGGTCGCTGATTACGAATCCGATGTTAGTTTTTCAAAATTCGGTGTCAACGACATTTTTGAGTTTCACATTCGAACAAATTTTAAATTTTTTCCGCCATAATGGATCCGCCATTTTGAATTTTTAAAAACGAACATCGGATTCGTAATCATCAACTCCGAAACCCCCCGAGTAACGAGTTTCAATCCATTAAAACGTTCAGAAGCATCAAAATCAACTTGGTAAACTTCAAAGTCGTTTTTCTCGAAATCTTTTTTTCTGAGCGTAGGTCCCTTTTAACTTTACGTGACACATATATGTTTGCTTGTACACCAGTACATTAAAATTGTTGGTGCACGACCCTTAGCCTTCTGTTTAATGGATGAAATCTATGTTCTATGAAATTTAACGTGTTTGGAAATATTTCACGAGTGGGTTGGCTGAAAAAATCATGGCCAGGATATTTTTAATTAAATATTCAAAAATGAGTTTTATATCCGAGCGCACTTGTGCACACATAACGGTTGCTTGTAATAGGCAAAACGAATCGAGATAGATATAGACAAATGTACATATACATAAATGATCAGAATGAAAAGGTGAATCGATTAAGCGGTGACTGTCTGTCCGTCCGTGCGTCTGTGCACACGATAACTTCCGGGCGTAGGACAGATGGTATTGAAAATGGTAAAAATCGGACAATAACCACGTCTACCTCCCATATAACGGTAATTTTCAGAAATACTGCGCTATTTTAGCAACTACTTAAGATTATTAACTCAAAATTGATATTTACAATAATTTTTAGACGAAAAATAAGAATATTATAAATTTTTGGAAAATGGGCGTAGCCACGCCTACTTATGGTTACATGTGTATATCGTGGTAACCGCTGCACCAATTTCTTCCAAACTTGGCACAGTTGTTGGCCTTGGTACAGCATACCAAATGGCCGATAACGGTAATTTAGAGAAATACGAAATCTTCGATTAATCAGTTAATATTAAAGCTACTTTATTTAAAATTGATGCTTGCAACAATTCTTTACCACGAAATACGTTATGATAAAGTTTTGGAAAATTGGCGTGGCCCCGCCCACTTATTATCACATATATGTATCTCGGTAACCGTTCTACCAATTTGTACCAAACTCGGTATGGTTATTTTGCTTGCCACATAAAAGCAAAACGTTGAAAATTATTGAAATCCGACTAAAATTATGGCCGCTTTTCATATTACGGTAAATTTCAGAAATGCTTGAAACTTCAATATTTCGAAATTTAAGGACGCTAATTTACTCAAAATTGATACATCCCGGCTTACCAAGTAGCGGTAGATTTTGGAAAGGTGAAAAACATATATTTAATATTTGCGCCAGGTATTTAATGTTCGGCTCCGCCCGAACTTAGACATTCTTACTTGTTTTTTTATTTTGTAATTTTGCTCTCATTTGTTCAATGAACAATTTACATGCATACATACAGTATCGGCCATATCAATAGCACGCCGTTACAAAGTGATATTGTGTTCCATTTATGTTTATTTATTTATTTTTTAGAATTTTCAATTGAAATACTGTTCTACCTCTAACAAAACCCATATAAACCGAAGTTTAACAATTTGTAGAAAACTACAAAAAAGTGAAAAAATGTTCACCCAAATTTCAAACTTTATTCTCCGAAGTGTTAGAATTTTTTTGAACACACAGTTTTATAGCCCAATCGATTTTAGTCTGATAATGTGCAAGTTTCAAGTGGCTAAAAGCTACCGTTGATTTTTTAGATTTTTTTTTTCCAAAGGTGTTGCGGATTTCTTCCATATACAAATAAATTGAGTTTATTCATTATATGGAAGCCAGTGCGACAAAAAAAAATTCTAAAAAATGAACGGTAATTCGTAGCCACTTGAAATTTGCCTAATTATAAAATTGAAGGGGCTAAAAACTGTGTACTCAAAAAAATTCTAACACTTCCGAGAAAAAAGTTTGAAATTTAGGTGAAACTTTTTGCACTTTTTTGTTGTTTTCTACAAATTGTTAATTTGGGTTTATATGGAGTTTGCCTGAGAATGAACTATATTTTAATTGAAAATTCTTAAAAATAAATAAATAAACATAAGTGGCAGACAATCTCACTTTGAAATGGTGCGCTATAGATATGACCGATACTGTATATACTAATCGAAAGCATAAAGCTTGTAGAATGTGTTAAACAGATGAGTGAAAATTACTAGTATTACTTACCTGTTCATACCTGCCAACTCGATAGGTAGGCCAGGAAAAAAATAGACAATATTCACATCCTATAGGCTTAATATTTTCGATTGGTATGTAACTTGTTCATTAAACAAACGAGTGCAAAATTAAACAAAATATAATAATTTTTGAAATATTTAATTAAAAATATCCTGGCCAGGATTTTTTAAGCCAACCCACCCGCGAAATATTTCCTAACACGTTAAATTTCATACAAAATAGATTTCATCATTTAAACAGATGGGTGAAGGTTGTGCATTATTTGGTTCGTAGACTATCAATAACACAAACGATACAACAAAATTCCTAAATAAGTATGTTTGTTTATCAATCTTCAGGTTCACACTGCGATTCAACAGCCAGGATTCAAACGGGTAAAACGTGGTCTGCGCCCTGCGATTCCTGCAATTCATGGTCTTAAGTTCGATGCCACCTACAGCGTTCAACCAATTGGCGTTGAACCAACCGATCCGTATTTTCCTTTGCAGTGGTATTTGAAAAATACGGGACAAAATGGCGGGAAAATGCGTTTAGATCTAAATGTTCAGGCAGCATGGGATCAAGGAATAACCGGGAAGAATGTCACAACTGCAATAATGGACGATGGTAAGCGAAATCAGAATAGTGAGTAAAAATTTGTGAAGTGAGCCCCTGATTTTTCATGAAATCTTAAGAATTAGCAAGTAAATAAGTTTAAGTTATGGTAAAACCGAACTTTTTATACCCGGCGCATGAGTCCATAAAAGGTACCCTTTTTGAGCTTTTCTGACAGTCACGCTTACACAGGCGGGCGCACAATGAAACTTTGAAATTACGGGGGCTTGCGACCCCTCCAGCCCGGACCTGCGTACGCCCATGCATATATGTCATAAAACATAAATATACATATGTATATGGGAGGTGTGAGTGGTTTTTATCCGATTCAAAAAAAGGCTAATCTATTACTTAGGGAGGCCAAACGCAATGCGTGTACTGAGTTTGATATTGGCGAAGCGGGTATGGAGTTATCCAGGTTACAGAATACAGTTTCTTGATAAAAGTTTGAAGTAACTACTGAAATATTGTAGTTTTTATATTTTAAGCAATGAGCAATTCAGCACCCTTTATATAGAGGGTAGGCATGATTTCTGTCCGACTTCGCCTCGTTTCAATATTCAGCTTCGTTGGACCGAGAGCAAACTAGACACGAAGATTCATTTTTACGGATTGGCACACGTGCAAACGGAGATGACTCGATCGCTTTTTCTCTTCATCATTGAACCTTTTTTATACAAACATATCGTCGTTTAAAGTACAAAACCGCTCATCAACAAACTGCAAAACCGCTTATCAAGATATTGCAAAACCGCGCATGTGAGGTTGCATAAATTATTTTCTAAAGAGTAAAAATACTCATATTTCAAAATAGTTATCTATTTTATAAATCAATCGCATTTCTGGCTAATATATTTCAGGACGAATGGATAAGGCTTTAGCCAAGGGCTTGTGTGAGCAAACCCAATTTTTGGCAACAAATGTCAGTTAAGCGGTTTTGAAGAATGACGATACGCTGTCTTGTACTTTAAACGACGATATGTACCTAGGTATCTATGTATATACAGATGTATACCAATAACTATCTCGTTTCTGCTAATCTGTTACACAATTGCGCTCGAATAAAATGATAAATAGTTGAGCCTCTGCTTCAATCTGGGGTGTGCGCTTTGATGATGTCACACAACACCTACAGTTATACGCCGCCTCCGAACGGCAAATGGTTTTATTGAGCAGATTTTTCATGGCAGAAATAGGTTCGAAGGTTTGCCAGTGCCTTCCGAAGGACGACCGCTATTAGAAAATACTTTTTTCGATGTTGCTTGGACCAGGGAACGAACCCTGGTTCTACCGAGTCGTAGTGCGCACCTCTAACAACTCGACCACGTCTGCCGCCGTGTATAATGATAAGTATCAATAAATTTGAGTTAAAGTAATTGTTGATAGATAACTTTTACTTACACTAAAACCATGGTACAATAATTACAGGTATTGTCTTCCCAGAGAGCACATATTCCGATCTCCCTTCTTTGAAAAACAACATTGTTGCCCACACTGAAAGGTTTACTGCTAGGGAAAAGGGATATTTCCATACCCCATATACTATATACATATGTTCACGTATTTTTTTTTAAACAAAGCTTCTTGCAGAGGACTTGTTTAATTTGCCAAAGCCGAAAAAACATTTGCTTAGTAGATAAATTCAAAATTTGTATGGCTCAATTCATTTCAAACGTTTTTTCTTTTGGTTTGAAAAATTATATAAATTAAATTGAGCGAAAACAAAAAGCAAAGCCAAATAAAAGTAAAAGAGTCAACATTGTACTGCGTCAAAATGAAAATAAGGGAATACGAATTTCGATGTGAAGTAAAACTCTCTGGGAAGACAATACCTGTAATTATTGTACCATGCACTAAAACCAACTTTAAAACCATATGCGTATATGAAATTTGTGAAATTGAAAAAAACCAGGGCCAACTTCATAAATTGTCTCTCTGCAAAATAGTCATATCTAGGCTCTTTGTATTAATTGTTTCTTAAATCTTTTATAGGTGTGGATTACATGCACCCCGATTTGAAGTTTAACTATGTAAGTATAAATTTATATAATTGAAGAAATCATTTTAATCAATAATTTATATTCATATGTATCAGTGCTGCCACCCACATATTTTTCCCCCTACCGAATATTTAGTTCATACTTAAACAAAAAACATAAAAATATAATTTCTAAACTTCTTGTCGACCGCTGTGGTGTAGTGGTAAGCAGTGCGCGCTTTGACTCATCAGCACCTGGGTTCAAGCCCTGGTCAAAGCAACACCCCAAAAATATGGGGAAAAGTTTTTTCTTAACAGCGGTCGTCCCTCGGCAGGCAATGGCAAACCTCCGAGTGTATTTCTGCCATGAAAAACAGCTTCTCATAAAAATACAATCGCCGTTCGGAGTCGGCGTAAAACTGTAGGTCCATCTGCTTTGTGTGACAACATCACGGCGCACGCCACAAGTCGGAGGAGAAGTTCGGCCAAACACTAACATATGTGTAAGCGCCAATCTGTTATTATTATTATTAAACTTTGTTTAAAACTCAACAAAGTTCAATAAATTCTCATACAAATTTTAAATTGTTTAATACGATTTTTTAGAACTTTAGAAAGAATTTGAGTATGCAGTTTTGTAGTTCACTTTATTGCATTCCTCACAAAAGCCGGAGCCATCTTTGGAAAGCCATGCAAAAAATGTGAGCCACTCAGCTGTAAACTTTCTTTTGTTTTCAACATTGAAAAATATGTACATAAATAGTTCAAAATAGAAAAATTACAGATATTTTATAAAAATCCACAAATACTGTCTCTGGCATGCCTTCTTCCTTTGAGGTTTCTGAGGTGAATTGATGTTATTTGCCGTTTGCTTAACAAATTTACTTAATTTAGTGCCCTTCGTAATAATTTAACTTTCCTACTTCTCCATCACTCCATTAAAAACGCATCTGTCTGTAGCAGTGTTGATTTTGTAGGTACATTTGTACCTTTTTCGGCCCTTTTTAACTTAGAAGGTACATTAGGTACATTTGTTTGAAATTAGGTACTTTTTCTTACTACCCAGTAGAACTCTGGAGCATCGTACGATTGCTTGGTCAGTACTCCCTTGGGAGTAAACGAATACTCCCCATTGCTGCCTATGCTACTGTGTATAAGCATGTAATTTGGTATACTCCCTTTAACATTGGATGTCCTAGGAGGGGGAGTAATTCCTTTTACCTCCTAAACGAGCAATCGGGGAGCACACACAGAATTATCATCCCACAAACCTTCTAATGGAGCAATACGGGAGTACTCCCATAGTTATCTCCCAGAAACCTCCCAAAAAGACAACAAGGGAGTGCACATAGAAAACATCCCATATTCCTCCCGAACGAGCAATAAGGGAGTGCTCCCATTAGAGGCATCCCGAAAGCCTCCTATAGGAGTAATAAGAGAGCAATGATAACGAACTTTTTAAATTAGCCAAATAGATTTTGCTATTTATAAAATTTTTTATTTAACTTTTTAATCACGTGCATTTGTGCAATTTTACAAGATCTTAACAGATATAAGTACGAGATCAGATAAAACATAAATGATTTNTTTATTAAATTTTTTTATTTAACTTTTTAATCACGTGCATTTGTGCAATTTTACAAGATCTTAACAGATATAAGTATGAGATCAGATAAAACATAAATGATTCGTCTTACATAATTGCTTAATTTTAGAATTATATTGCAAAACATAATAATAACAAAACGGTAAGATAAGATTTGAATTATATGCACATATAAGTATGTACTCGTATATGATTTCCTGGGTGTCAAGGATGCTTGCCTGTTCAGGAATCCACTAAGCGGGGAAATTGTGAAGGTGACTTGCTTATCTGACATCTTTGTCACCCATGCGATGTTTAAACCCGGGGGTCACACTTAAATGCAAACACTAATTTGCGCAATCTGAAAAGTATTTAACGGTATATTTATAAGTAAGACAATACTTAATATATTTAAACAAAAGTTGAGGTACATACCAACGGACTTTTATTAAAATCTGTGTGCTATCCAAATTAGATCATTGTGTCCTCCTTATGCATCTATAAGAAATATTTTCTGTTGTTTTTTTTTCTATGATACATTTTTCCGAAAACACAAAATTTCTTTTGAACGAGGTGCGTATTGCTCTCCTATCAATCAAAAAGAATACTCTTGGATTTCTCGCTTAGGAGACATCACTTTTTAATCCTAAACGAGTAATAACGGAGTACAAAACAGACAAATCTCGCTTATTGCTCCCCAATCATGCCTCAGGGAGCATTCTTTAATTGCTCGTTTAGGAGATCTCTCATTACGCTCCTAAGCGAGCAATACAGGAGGACAAAACCGACAAATCTCGTTTATTGGTCCCAAATCATGCCTCAGGGAGTATTATTTCGTCGCTAGCTTAGGAGATCTCCTATTTGATTCCTAAACGAGTAATAAAGGAGTACAAAACCGACATTACTCCCTTATTGCTCAGAAATCAGGTTAAGGTGAGTACTCTTTTATTCCTCACATAGGGAGATCTCCCTTCAAGTTCTAGTGGGTAGTCCATTTATTGGATAATTTCCTTTTTAAGTTGTAATTTAATCTATATTTATGTAATTTTTGAGATCTTTACTTTTAAAAATCGCCTCTGTAAACGATTACTTAGAGATGATTACTGTCCGCAATGTCAGTGTAAACGCTACTTGAGTGACCCGTATATTTAAGAAATTAAAGGTGGCAATGCTGCATTAATTTGGTTGACATTTCATGTCTCAAATGCCACTTGTTAAAACAATAGTTTGGCGCGAAGCACATCAGAAAAATGGAGAGGTATTTTTTATTATAGAATACAGTATTAACTATATTCAGTTCATTGTGAAATTAATAAGTCATTCATTAGGTGGTTGTTAAAAAATTCGGACCGCTCTAAAAGTGATACGGCTGCTGGCGGCAATTGTGTTCATTCTCCACCTGCTGCTGTAAGTAAAGATGACAATTTGAATGATTTCTTAAGTCCCAAGCGCGAAACCTACGATATTCGTTTTCGAAGTGAATGGAAAAAAGAGTTTCCTTGGCTGGAGGAAGATTCCACAATAAAGCAAGGCAAAAAATGTATAGTTTGTAATGTGGGGATTTATGGTAACTTGAACCATATTGTAAGGCATGGAAACACTGACATGCATAAAAGAAATGAAAGTACGGCGAAATCCACTCTGAAAATTTCTAGCATTTACGGGCCTGATCCGGAAGATGAAAAGACGAATAACTCTGTTAAATATTTGGAAATTCGTCTGTCGTTGTTTATTGCTGAACACAACTTGCCATTTAGATGCCTTGATCATCTCATAAAGTGCCTAAAGACAGTCAAAGATTCAAAACCTATTTCACAGATATCATTGAATAAATTAAAAGGACAAAAAATTATAACCTCTGTGACGGGGGCTGCAAATTGTACAGACTTATCGGAAATTACCCAACGTCAGTATTATTCCATTGTTATTGATGAAAGTACCGATATAACGACTTCCAAAATTTTGGCGGTTGCTGTTAGAATTTACGACAAAAGATGTCGAGACCGGTTTTAGACCTGGTTCCAGTCACCAACTCTACAGCGGCCGGAATTTACGATGCTTTAGTAAATCTCTTTAAAGGTATCTTAAACAAATTGTTGGCATTTACTGCAGACAACTGCAATGTTATGATGGGTAAGAATAATAGCGTCCAAGCGAAATTGAAAGAGGTTTGCCCAAATTTATTTGTTAATGGTGCCATAATTTGAACTTGGCATCTGAAGCCGCTGCCACCGTAATGCCTGGAAATATAGACAAGTTAATGTACAAAATTAATCATCACTTTTGTCACAGTGGTGGCCGAAAATCTGATTTTGCTCACTTGCAAGAACATTTTGGACAGGAGATTCACGTTATTCTACGTTTATGTACAACTCGTTGGCTTTCACGTGAGGTAAACTCCAAAGTTACAATTTAAAAGTACTTTTTACTTCATCTATTTTAAAATATGTATAATTAATTTCCATTTATAAAATAATTTTTTAGGCTGTGGTTAACAGGCTATTACTAAAATGGACATCGCTTCAGTATTATTTCAATCTTGTTGCATTCGAAACTGGAAATGATAACGAATCAAACCAATTTATTTATGACGGCCTTACAGCCAGTTTCACCAAACTATTTAAGTGGAAATTAACTTTAATTTAATTTTGTATTTAATTCTCATTTAAATAATTTTCAGTTTCAATAAACTATTTATTTAAGTGAGTAAAAAGTG